CAGAGCATAACTACCTCCTAGGCAAGCTTGTGATGCGCTCAGTTTGCCAACCTGCGCGTTGAAGTCACCTGCAAGTACAACTATGTCGGAGCTTCGACTCATCCGAAAGAGATCGGTGAGTTTATCGTAGAAAGCGTCCTTTGGGTTTCAGAACTGCAATTGGTCGGTGCATATGTTGATACGATAAACAAATACCTTTTGGTGTTACTTCCCTTCCGGACACTGATTAAAGCCTGGAGATGCACTGCACATAAACGACTGTTGGTAGGGATCCAACCGATAAGAGAGGACTCTGCCCTATTACTCAGTACAATACTTACCCCGCGCTGACCTACTGAACGAGCTTCATCGTCGCCTGATGTGCGAAGGACGTATCTCGTCGACAAATCTGGCGCTCTCTAGTGGCTTAGAATAGTAGGAACCTGGATCCGAGTTTCCAACACGCAGCAAATATCGATTCCTAAGGATTCCATTGTAAGCGCTAGAAAAGCTTGTTGACCTAGCTGCATCAAAGTCCTCACGTTGAAGGCCCCCAGATTCAGTGATTGACGAGGCTTTATAATCTGCAATCCATTCCGTGGTAAATCACTTACAGTGCTATTTGGCAATGACCTTTGGCGTGGGACATCTAATTTGTTTGAGGGACTATTACAGGTCGGTAGAAGGGGTAAAGGGAGAGCGTTGGGAACGGAAGACAAAGAATTAAACGAAGGTTGGGATATCTGAGCAGAGCCCACTTATCACTACCCACCCCGCTCGATGCAATGGGCAGCACGGTCCTGATTATTATGCGCGACGACCGATGCAGTATGGAAGTATTTGTATTTGCATTGGGGTTTGATGGACGGGTACTGCTAGGGTGTTTAGTCACTAAGCAGGAGAACGATTAAGGTTCTCGTCCAAAGCCTTTAGTTCTAACAAGAACCCAACCGCAAGGTGGCGAATGAAGTGAATTGGAGGCCCATTTACTTGGATCGATTACACCTCCACCATTTTTTACTGCCTGAAACGCAAATTCCAGTCGAACCGGAAGGACCAGGGGACTGAACTTCGTCTGACCTCTACCCATTAATCTTCCAGGTATGATAAGTTCTCCTGACTTTATAAAGTCATCCTGTGTAGCTCGTTGGATCACAGCGGTGCACAACCCATCACATCACGTCAAGGTGTAGTCTCGTCTTGATGGATGTTCATATATATAGGGTTAAGCAAGAGGGAACGGAAACCTCGGATATGCAAATATGATACACCAACCCTGGTTCCTTGGTAACCGGTAATCCAGTAGGAGATTACTAAGATGACCGTAAAAATATTCCTAACCTATCTGTTGTTCTAGAATCGCGCCGCTGAGTTCCGTATGATGTATTCGCTAACAAAAACTGTACAGTCATCATCGTCGCTTTTCACGGTCATCATTTATCGAAGATCATTCCTAAATAAAATGTTTTCTAACGAACGATCGGGACTGATAAGACGATTAATTTGTCTTTGGATAGATGAAAATTGAATTATTTCGTTTTGGACACACTCTTTCTGTAAGCTACTGGAAACCAGGATCATGTATGTCAATAATGATCAACACACAGGAAGCCCAGATAGACGTTCCGTATCCAATTGGCCTCCTTAGTGATGCTTGTGCTGTTCTCACGGAAACTTGAGCTTTCATATTGAAAACTAAAACCCTTCAACGCTGAACAACGTGATCAACATTCAACATGTTGACCGCAATACTGCAGTAATCAATTCAACAGGTTCTCAGTTTGTCTGATTTGATCTCGGACACATTAGTTTTGTTTCTTTTGGGGTGAGTGGGATGATTAGCTTTTGTGCTGGTTTCACTTCTTAAGAGATCTTTAAGTCCCCTGTTGGCTGTAGTCAAGCGTTAAGCTCGAATCCCGAGAATTACCTAATACTGATCGTCTGTTCTCTGTATGTGTTCTTGCTATTAATGCATCCCTCTATTTTCCATTCATACTTGTCAATCAGAATGTCAACTGATAACGAATTAATGCACGTATGTTCAAACTGTCATGAGATACCCCTGGTTAAACAAATATATAGAAAAAAATTAGCATTTTCGCCGTTTCAATTCACTGTACGTTTTTTTTTCTCAATTCACAGTAGCCGACCTCAATCGAATCATGGAACAGTTCAATAATCAACTGGTCACCATAGAGGATGAAATCAGCGGGCCGGTCGCGTTCAGCAATCCGGATGATCTTGACGATCAAATGACTAAAATCACGGTGAGATCATTGCATTTTTACAATTTGTTCGAGGCTCACTAATATTGTTGTGATTACATCTGGCAAAAGAAGAGAGAAATAGTAAACCGATTTCCGCTGGATAAGTACAGTCAAATAAACATAAAAATGTACTTCACAGAAGGAATTCGTCGTGTATAGAGCAAATTAAACTTAAACTGAATAGTCTAGGATCACTGTACAACTGTTTTGATCTGATTGGGTCTCAACAGCTGCGGTGCGAATCCATCAACCCGATTGGGGATCGAACCCGACGAACCCGAAACCGAATTCAATCCTCCACTACTCGCACGAGAGAAATATGCAGATCATGGTTGCATAATTAATGTCTTGCATATGTGTGAAAGTAATTGGAGGATAGAGTTTGTAGTTTGTGTGGGGTTTATGATCAAAACTAGGTGTTAGGTGGATGGAAATAGGAATTAAACATCTTAAATCAGATTGAATCAGCACGGTTCCGATGATGAAGTCATCGATCATCGATGAAGTACATCTCCAATCAACTTAGATGTAGGACAAATGAGGTACTTTGATAAACCGCTTGTGAGAACGAAGCAATGGGTGAAATTGGCAGATGACCGACCACTTCCATGACTGATGTCAGATGGTACTGACGAGCAGTTTCTGATGCATTAGAAAGCATTCAACTGACCGTATTATCATTCATCTGATCATTCTTATCTGTGGACTGCTCGGCGACAGAATAGGACAAAATTTTACCGCGCACCGGTAGTCAGCCAAGCTTGATCTTCCACAAGAACCTATATTACTCATGCGAGGTTTACAAACATTTGAATAAGTGATCAATAACCGTCAGAGTAAAATATTCCGGATAGTCGGTAGCTACAAAGCTTTAGTTTTTGTATTTCTATTCCAGAGCCAGCTATTTGCACGCTGTGCCTATAATTCCGGCATAACCTTCAAGAGAATGGATAAGACTTCGTTTAAAAGCCACATTACAATCTCTGAACTCCATCCATTCATCCATTAGACAGACAGACAGACAGACAGACAGACAGACAGACAGACAGACAGACACATACACACAAACACACACGTTGACGCATTCTCCGAACCCGTAGACCCTGAACACATTTACGCTACGCAAGTGACCAGAGAATGAAGTTTTCTAAACCAAAATCGTTCATTGTTTGAATTTGTAATAAATGGCCATGAGAAGCGTTTTGAATTTCCCTTAGTTCTGTCGCGATCAACCTATGTGTAAACTGGATTTTTATCAACAAGTTTTGGCCTAAGGACTGAGATCAACCAGTTCAGTTTCAGTTTATGCAACCATTAACCATACACTATCGCGCGCCGGTTTTGGTTGCTATCTTTCGGCTACCCATTTGGATGAACATTAGAAGAAAGACAGGAAAGGTTGAAAGTAGGATCGAAGAGAAAATTGAAAAGTTCAGTGGACTAATGAAGCAGAGAAACTGAGAAGATGCACGAACGCCACCGTTTTCGATACCCAGCCACGTCACTCAGTGTCTCTGAGATCAATAACCATGATCTCTACGGCGAATGGACGCAACACAAGTTCCGTTCAGTTTTTTTTCGGTTCAGGCTTTTCTTTTTTTCAATCAAGACGTAAATTGATTTTACTACCTCTCAAACTATCTCCACTAGTCTCTCGATCGATGTTCGCTTTGATCTGTTTCTCAAGCCTGAGGGAAAGTTCTGAGAGGAGTACCGATGATATATGAGTAGAAATCGGATAGAGCTGACCGGTTGATAAAGAATTAGGAGCTGTATGTTCTTCTGTGTTTTACACACGTCTGAAACTAGACTGTGTGCCAAACAAATTGTAGTACGGTAATCTTTATAATAAAGAGAAAGTTCTGTGATTTGTTTGTGGGCGGAATACTGCTAGTTTCCCATGAACATAACAGGTAAATGTTCTGCGGGGGAATTCACAACCAGAGCCTTCGATTAGCCAAAGTCTGACCGTCAAGGCAGTGGAGAAGTGTGTGAACACCGCAATCCATTGAGGGTCAGTGTCCAGTACATCCGATATTACACCGCTTGGGCGCGGTAAAACATCCAAGGTGCCAATACACCTCGATATCCAATCTAGTCGGTGACCACTAACAAGACCATTAAGGTTCGAATGGGTGTGGTTCGTGCGCCTCTTCTTGATCGGTTTGGAAACAGGATTTTTAGCCTACTCCCTAGGTAGACTGCCAGCGGTTCACCAACCCGATTAAAGCCCCGAATATTGGCTGTTCGTCCACTCACGTTGATGACAAAACACCTCCGCCATGAGAAGACAACGAATAGGGCTTCCTCAGCAGAAGCTATTTGAGACACTTGGTTATATAGGAACATTTCGTGAGGTGCAAAGAAAGGGTGATCAGCCACAAACCAAAACACCCACTCCGACAATAATGAGGCTTTTGGAGGCCATCAGGTCCAGAAGATAACAAAAAAGACCGACTGCTTTTTGCAGGATAATTTTGGTTACTGTTTTGATCGAACTA